AGTAGATTCTCCTACATTATTTGTTTTAAAATTAAATTTTTAATAATAATATATTTTTTTTTTCTTAAAAAAAAACCCCATCAAAGATTTAGGCTTCGTTTGGGACGTCTTTTTAATTACTTTCTAAAATGGATTTTTAGTACAAAATCTTTTTATTTTTGTACTAAACTCCGTTTCAGAAAGCAAAAAAAAGCCGTCCCAAACGAAGCATTAGTTTTGGAATGACTTTCTTACTGCTTCTTAAAACAATTTTCTAGCACAGAGTTTTTTAATTTTTGTATTAAAACGCTGCTTTAAGAAGCAACAAGAAAGTCATCCCAAATGAAGTCTAAGGTTTTGTTTGAGACGGCTTTCTTACTGCTTTTTAAAACACCTTTCTATTTAAAATGTTTTAACCTTTGTACTAAAACACTGCTTTAAGAAGCAGTAAGAAAGCCATCCCAAACGAGGTCTAAGTCTTTATCACACAAGGTGGGGTCAGTTATATAAATTTTTTTTATTTATTGTGTCATATTAAAAGTCAAGTTCTCATTTCAATCTATAAAAAAAATATCATTTCTAATACTTTGTAATTAATTTTTTTTAAGATCTACTTCTATTTTTAAGACAAAATAAATAAATTTTTAAATTTTTTTGAATAATTTAAAATAACTTTTAAATATTTTAAATATTTTTAAAAATAATTATCATCATTAATTTAACCATTGCAACAATGATCACTTGTCGTCACCACTCACCACATCATCATCACCATCATAATCAGCATCACCATGTCATTCTTTTTATTAGCAAGCATCATAAATTTATATTAAATATATATTTTTATATTTAAATATAAATAAATAAAATAAAATTTATAAATAAAAATAAAAAAAAAAAAAAAAATGATCCCAAGCGCCTTATAATATTTTTTAGAATTTAGATAATTGATAATTAAATTTATATACATAAATATATCCTTGCTTTCACGCGAAGATTCGACGCGCCGCCTGGTTCATAGAATTTACAGAGGCAAAAAACAAAAGGAGCGCTTGCAAGGCGGTGGTGCACTCATCCCTCTCTCTCTCTCTCTCTCTCGACCTCGACCTCATGGCCGTCGGCGTCCTCGCTCTTCAAGGTTCTTTCAACGAACACATGGCAGGTTATTCACATAGCTATTTCCTTATATAATATATCTCTTCTCATCCCTTATAACGTTCTCACCTTCTTGTTGATTGATGGCGATTGCGGAGCAGCTCTGAGAAGGCTGGGTGTGACAGGAGTCGAGGTGAGGAAGCCTTCGCAGCTGGAGGCCATTGAAGCCCTCATCATTCCTGGAGGAGAAAGCACCACCATGGCTAAGCTCGCCCACTACCATAATCTCGTTGGTTCTTGTTTCTTCCCCTACTGTTTATTCTATAAATTTTAATAATCTAATGTGAGGGCTACTCCTTAAATTAAGGCATTTAATCATTTTTTATTATTTTTCGGATTTGCTTATTCGTAGATTAAAAAATGATTTTTTTTTTTGGATTTTCTTTGATGATCAGTTTGCAATTGCTTTTTTACGAAGTGATTGCTTTTTTTTTTTTTTTTTTGCTTTTCTTGATGAGTGAATTTATGACCTAGTTACCGGCATGCTTCTATCATGATGAATAAAGAAAAGCTTAATTTTTTTAGCTGAAGAAAAGAGGGTAGCAGACCCACTAATAAAACCGGTAGATGAAATTAATATGGTAGGATTATGAAGTAAAAAAGTTGAAAACTAACACCCTTATCGGGCGTTGAGGGAAGGAAAGAAAAAAATTACATGGGGAAGAAAAGAAAGGAATAGGGGGGGGGGTGGGGGGGGGTTTATGAAGGGGTTTGTTAAGGAAGTTAAGGGAGTAAAATTATCATTTAATATTTAATTTGGAGTTGATTACAAAGAAAGGAAACGAAATATCATAATTGATTTAACATATATACCCTCCTTGTAAGGATAAATTATTACATGCGGAGTCCGTGCACAAATTGTACATAGTGTGTGTATAGGCTGATGTGGTCAGTTTTGATTGGAGTCCGAACGCCATGTGCATTTGGACTCCGCACTTAATAATTTCTCCATTGGAAGACAGATAAATGTTTAGAATTGAGTGGGAAAAGTCTTTTTTCTTTCTTTCAAAAAACTAATGTTAGTTTTGATATTATTTTTTATGCGCTCTCTTTTCACTAGTGACAGGAGAGAAGCAAAATCCTCCTATGAAGGAAAGTCTTTCATCTTTTTTAATTTTTACCTTCCAATCAAAACAGTATTCACTTTCTTTCTAATTACTTTACTTTCCTTCATTCTAACTCTTAACTAGAGTGTAATGGTAACATGGATTGAATATTGACTAAACATATATACACAAAATAAAGACATCATTTAATTAGAATTGATTTAGATTGAAGATTCATAAATATGACCTCAAATAATTGAGAGAAGAAGATGGAAAATCTGTGCTTCTTTTCCGCTCTGACTAATGATATTTGCCTAGTTTCTTTTAAGCTGAACAGTAAATCCAACCTAATAAACATCTGGATCAAATAGTATTCTGCAATCTCATGTTTTATTGATTGCTTTCAAATTGCCAATTTAAGCTTTTTAATGAGAAAATTTCTGCTTATGCATTTGTTTTCTTACATATTTCCATATGATTGAAACCTTAGTTCATTTTGGGTGACAACTTCTTTTGTTGTGTATAATGAAGAAGTCAAGCTCCTTATTATGTTTTTTAGACATTGAATTGTCCCAAAATACACAGAAAGTTAATTGCCTTTGTACCGCGATCTCCCAAGGGATCAAAATCTACGTAGTTTGATAGTTGTAGATCATGTGACAATGTAGGAGGCAAGAAAATCGAAAAGTACAAAGTTAAGGCAATATTGCCGTGAAAAATATAAAGTTTAGCTAAATTTGTTGGCTTAGTGCTAACCTGCTTAATGCATCTTTCATCTTAACAAGAACAAAATTCAAATTTTTACCCGATGGGGTAAAAACAACTTTGTTTGAATGAATGTCCTCTTTCTCTAGAATCATTCCACAAATGATATGAAAACTATAACTAAACTCTCTGTTGGAGAGAACATAACGTACTAAACTAAAGAATTGGCTGAATATACCACTTGAAATGTCCAGAACTAAATAAATCAAACTCAAAAACCTTGATATCTGGACAACTAATCAACTCTGAAATCAAACAGAAAAGGGCGTCTAAAAAAATAATTGAATCAACTTCTTAATGAGAAAGAAGATAGCCAAAAAAGTGATTGAAACAACAAGAATCGAGAAGAGGAAATAGATGCTAAAATCGAAAAAGAGCAGTAGAGGCCAAAATATACCTATCGAATAAGAGAGTTAAGTATGTTAAGATCATGGGATCTTTTCAGATTGTTGGCGCGCGATTGTTGACAAATCTCATTAGGATACTTATATAATATTTAAGGTTTGGTTTGGGATTATTACAACTATTTGTAAAATTTAGTCGTAGAAATTGTTATCCAGAAAAAGAGATGTTTGTGAAAGTTGTTTATGGGTATTATTGAATTTTATCCCCTCTAAAAAAGTCGGACATATAAATTTCTTACAACTACAATACTCCTAGTTGATTTGGTTTTATCAAGAAAATTTTTAAATTATACAAGAAAATTTTTGCCGACCCACATGTTAAAGGCTTGTTGTAACAAGAAAATTATTGCAAATAAAATGGTACTCAATAGTCTATTAAATAAACGTTGTAAAAAAAGAAAGTCCTGAAAGTACCTTCAGTTATAAAATTAAAAAATAAAATAAAATAAAAACTTTCAAAAATGTACCTTTGGTGTTGTCAGAACCAATTGGTGTTGCATGATAACAAGTTTATCGTTTTATTACATGGTCTCTTGATAGGCTTGGCATTCAGTTTCTTTAACTTATTGAGATTACTCTGTTAGAATTAAGCTTTCATGCATGCCAATAGATTTAAGGCAAATTATGCATTCTACGATATAATAACATTTTGCTTTCTTATTGTAGTTAATAGGATCAATTATAGCTGTTTAATCAATTGTTTTTGCAGTTCCCAGCTTTGAGAGACTTTGTTAAGTTTAGGAAAACCAGTTTGGGGGAACCTTGTGCCTGCTAATTTTCCTTGCAAATAAGCTACTGGTAAGCATATATGCACTTGTCTTTGGTTAATTGAGGTAGAAAGCATTAGGCTATAAAAGCTATCACAAAAGGAACATGAGTAAGATCAAAAGGACCTTCATTTCAGGCTCAAAAGTTGGGTGTCAAGAAGACTTATTGGGGGGCTCTGGATTGCACTGTTTCACCGAATACTTTTTTTGGTAGTCAGGTATGCCTAAGGCTGGCAAAACAGTCATACTTCAATTATCAGACCATCGGTTTGTCCTGTGGGGGTTTTGCCTCCTTTCCATAAAGATTGTCTGATTTTGTTTTGCAGATTCAGAGTTTGAGACTTAGAAAAAGCTTTGTATGTTCCTAAAGCTTGCTGAGCAGGAAGGTGGTTTCTGATACATGTCGTGGAGTGTTTAACGTGCACGCAAGCCATTTTAACAGGCTGGGCCAGATGTTGAAGTACTAGCAGATTAATGCTGTTCCATTGGATAATTGAGAAGTGTAGTATCTGAATGCTGAATGCTGAAGGAGGTCTCTCCCTGAAACCCCCTCTTATCTCTCTCAACCAACAAACACGAGTTTAGTTAAGTATTTTACTATCATTGGAATGATTCCTAGAGAGAAAGAGACACCCATCACAAAGTTGTTACCGACATACCGGGGGTAAAAGGAAAATGGATGTGATAGAAATATTTGGATGTCTTAGAGATTTAAGAGGGGGTTTTAACGAGATGAAAAGGAAGGATAGGACATCCCTAAGCCAGTGCTTAGCACTCACTCAGAGCACATCAAATTCTAGCATCTAAGATACTCTAACTTTAACATACTTTCTCTCAGGCACACATTTAATCTTGCCAACATTGTGATAACACATTTTGTGTCTCTTCCGAAATTATTTTAATTTCTGGGCCTATCGTACCTATCACATATGTCACACTAATTCATGAGCCCAGCCTTTAAAATGGCTGGTGCATCCTAATAAACACTCCACGACATGTATCAGAACCACCTTCCTGCTCAGCAAGGCTTAGACTTACAAGCTCAGTCATCAAAACTCTGAAATCTGCAAACAAATCAGAGCATCCTTTTATGAAAAGAGCAAAACCTCCCTCATCCAGACAAAACTCGCATTGTGATGAATATGAAGATGACTGTTGGCCTTTATCCCACTATGTGGGGTCGGCTACATGAATCCTTTTTATCCATTGTGTCATATTAAAAATGATCTTTCTTTATTAGATTTAAAATGAGAATTTGACTTTTAACAGGACACAATGGCGAAAAAGGATTCATGTAGCCGACCCCACGTAGTGGGACAAATGCTTGATGTTGTTGTTGTTGTACTTATAGTTTCGGTCATATTCAACTATTTTATGAGTACCTTCATAAGTCCTGCTAGATTAGAACACCACACATCTAGTTCTCCAAAGCCCAAAACCCACGTAGTGGGACAAATGCTTGATGTTGTTGTTGTTGTACTTATAGTTTCGGTCATATTCAACTATTTTATGAGTACCTTCATAAGTCCTGCTAGATTAGAACACCACACATCTAGTTCTCCAAAGCCCAAAACTTTTTCAATTATCAAACTTTTAGATTTCATTCTTCATCATCATTGTATTAGGCTTTAATATGTAGTAGGAAAAAATTCAATTTATCTTAAAAAGCATCTACAGGAAAATAATTTGATGAACACAAAGTAATAATAAAGAGTTCAAGCATTAGTAGAAAAAAAAAAGATTATTTGCTTCTACTAAAATAAATATACATCTATGGGGGAGGTACAAGGATCTTATCCATCATAGAGAAACCCGCCAAATTTACAAATAAGTGGGGCACAAGACAGTAATCTTTCCCAAATCTGAAGAAATCTGATCTCACTAAAAAATAGAAGCTTTAAATCTCTCAAGTCTAATAAAAGAGAATAACTCAAAAGGGTAGATTGTATCTCTAGGAAATCATTGCAAAATCTATTGCACAAGTATGCTTCAACCGCATCAAGATAGTACTCTGCGATCATAGAAAATCTTTTTTTCTTGCTTCATCTTTTCTTTCTCTCATCTCTCTTGATCTTAAACCTCTCTCTTTTGTTTTTCCAAGCCATAAATCTTAACAAAAATTATCCAATGAAAGATTTATTGAAGAATTATAAGTGAAGAATACTCTTTTTTTTCTTATTCACGGAGTAAAAGAGATGCATAATTTATAAGAGTTATAAGTCACCTAAAATAGAAAGAAGCTTAGGGACATAACACCGACCCTATGATTCAGGAAGATAATCTGCCTAATAAGTTTAGTATTATAGATTAGGAATTAATTCCTTCCTTACTAGCCATGGAGGATTGCATTAATTAAACAATGCCCTTGCCAGATTGCTGAGTTGGCATTCCTCCTGCAGTTGATCAAATCAAGGCATGCAAATTGCTGAGTAGGAGAGGCAATGGCATTAGCAGGTGCTGGCCACATGAAAAGGTACTTTTGTGGCTATTGGAATGAGGATTGGGATGAGTGATGCAGTACTACTTAGATGAGATGCTTATGGCTTCATTTAGGCATTGCACAACTCTTAGATTAGAATAATTTAAGAATAAAATTACTAGCAATTCTCAACGAAGAGAAACAATTAAGGAGATAATTTTGCGTAGGCTAAATTACATGCTCCGAGCTTTAAACTTTCAAGATAATTGAAAAAGACTATTACAAACTTGACACAAATACCTTACAAACTTTGACAACATAAACACAAATTAAAGACACCTAAAGGAGCTTGCCAATTGTTGCTTTGAGAAGAAGGATACATGTGAGGTGGATACTTGCGGATAGAAGAAGAGGTTAGAAGATTAGATGAAGTATAGCTCGCAAGCTATAGAGAGGAGAGGAAGGAGAAGGACATAGCTCGCAAGCTATTCCAAAGAAAACCCTCAGGTTTTATCTTCAAAAATCATAATTTTCACCACCCTTTTCTGTTTTAGCCCTTTTCCATACCAAAACATCTCATTTTTATAGGCAAAAGAGAGAAACCAAGCAGCCATAACACCTCTAACCAAACGAATTAGATTTAGGAAAATGAAAGGCCAACAGCCACAACACAGTAGCCCCAATTCGATACATGAAACCCAGAAAAGAAGGCCACGAGAAACCCAGCAGGCAGCCATGGGAAACCCAGCCAGCAAGGGACCCGAGGAGCCAGCACAGAGAACGGAACAGCAACACGGGAAAACAGCCAGGGGCCACGGGAACAGCAAAAGCCAGGAGGAAACCGAAGAGACAAAGGGAGGAGAAGGGGCAAATGAATCCAAGACATAATAGCATACCTTTTTGAAATAATGAGCTAGGAAGTGTATTTAATTCCCAATCATTGAGCTAAACTTCAGCTCAAGCATTTATGAGCTAACCCCAAGTAGAATCCAGAATTTTGAGCTCAATACCAAGCAACCAAGGCCCAACCGAGAGCAACCAAGGCCCAAAACAGAGAACAGCAAGCAGCCTAAGGACAAGAAGAAATTCAAGAAGATTTGACCCCCCTGCCTACATCAAGAAATCCAATCCCCTTGGCTGAAAACTAAATAACAAAAATCCAAATCTAAATTCAAGAAAAATTTAAGAGAAATAGCTCAAGAAAACTCTTTTCAATTGATGAAATATGGATGAAAATAACGAGATACAATGAATCCTCATTTGGAGGGGAGGATTTGGCTCTTCCAAATCTTTAGCCGGCGGCTAGAGCCCAAACAAACATAAGAACACTCCCAAATTCATCAAAAACATAGATGATCCTAACCTTAGGAAACTGTCACCCTTTAAGCATACAATAATCCTGTAATTCCCTAAATAGCCTCTATTTTAAATTTTCTCTCCTAATCTCTCCTTAATTCCTCCCTTAAATGGTTGTTGGGCCTGGCATGTAGAGGAGGCGAAAGTTCTGGGTGGAACAATTAGTTCCACCTCTTGTACACAAGAGTTGGTCCATCATGGACCGGCTAGATTGGTTGAGTGACCGGTCTAGCAAACCCCCCTCCCAAAGACCCACTTTGTCCTCAAGGTCGAAAGAGGGGAACTGATACTTTACCCTCTCGTAGGGCTCCCAGGTGGCGTCATAGTCAGGTAGGTTCTTCCATTTGATCATCACTTTCTTGATCTTTTCTTCTCCCTATCGCACCACTTTCATCTCCAGTGGTTCCAACACGACTTACAAATCCTGAGTCAGTATAACCAATAACTCTGAGTTAGCTGCATGATCCCCAATAGCTCTCCTCAACTATGACATGTGGAATATTGGATGTATGCTAGCGGTTGGGGGTAATCTCAAATGATAAGTCATTTCTCCAATCCTCTCCAATATCTCATAAGGACCATCCTCTGTTTGTAGGGTCGAAATCCTCAATTTTAAACTGGGTGTCTTTTCTGTACCCATCCGTCTACTTCTTCATAATATGTTAAGCCCTCAACAAGTGCCTTTTCAATTCATCCAACACCCTACCCCTCTCCTCCAAGTATTGTGCTCCTGAGGAAATTGATGTGCTATTCTGCCCAAAATGCACGAAGTGAGGTGTGTCTCTTGTATACAATACTTTGAAAGGAGTCATTTGGGAATACAAGTGATACGAAGTGTTGTATCAGTACTCCGCCCATGTTAGCCACTTGGCTCACAACCAAGATGTCTTTGAAGCAAAACATCACATGTATGTCTCTAAGCTCCTGTTTACCACCTTTGTCTGCCCATCTATCTGGGGGTGGTAGGCGTTGCTCATCTTCAGCACTATCCCCTGTAGCCTAAACAACTCCCTCCAAAAGTGATTGGGGAACAGTTATCTCAGTCGGATACTATAGACTCTGGTATCACATGCTGTCTGACCACCTCTCTAATGAATGATGATGTTGTTGTCACTGTCATGTAAGGATGTCGTAGGGATATGAAATGAGCATATTTGCTCAATCTATCAACCACCATTAGAATCACTGTAAACCCCTTAAATTTGGGTAACCCGTCTATAAAATCTATGTCGACCTCCTCCCATACTCTTTCTGGAAGTGCTAGGGTTAAAGTAATCCCCCTGGAGCCATGGCTATGTGTTTGTTCCTCTAGCATACCTCACACCTAGCTACCATATCCTCGACATCCTTGCACATCCCCTTCAAATGCAACTTTGATGTCAATCTCCTATATATCTTCTGCACACCAGAACCCCCAACAGTGTTCCCATGGAACTCCTGCAACAGGTGTGAAATACATTTCCACCTTGTAGATCCACCTATGTGTATCTTCTCACTAAAAAAGGGCATCTTCAACTTCTTTATCCTCCCTCGGATCTCCCCCGTTCCCCCTGATTTCTCCATAATTTATCCTTCCCCAAGTGGGTGGTACCCCCCAAGTATCCAGATTCTCCCTTCCATGCTCGTACCCAAACCCTTCTTCAATTTCTCCCTCCTTTCAAAATTAGCACCTCTCCAATCATTCTTAGCTTCTCTTCTTTCAAAATCAGCACTCATTCGCTCGTACCCAACGTATTCACCCCTTTCCCCATACCTCCTATCTATCTCCTCCTTATGACTAGGCACAAGAGAAGGTCTTCTTTCTTCTCCCTCTAAGATCTCCACATCGTGATCATCTCTGCAACTGCAGCAATGTGTATTTCCTCCTACCAGCACTCTTGCCTCTGATGTCGCCGTTTGGTTGTGAAGATTCAACTCCTTCACCATCTCTTCTAGGTTGGAGAACTTATCTTCCATTAACCATTGTTTTGATTTGGCTCATCTCTCCCTTAAAACGTTCTTCCAAAGCATCACCTTCTTGACTGTCATAGGTACTCAGATCTTGGACAACAATAAAAAAAAAAAAAAAAACAGGAAATATGCCCTTTAATCAGCAGAAATCAGCAGTTTGGAGAGGAGGAAACAGTAGAAATCAGCGAAGGAAGGCCTCAAATTCAGCCCCGGACACTGCTCTGATACCAATTTGTTAGGAAGTGGATGCATAAATCCAATCTCTCTTGGCTGAAAATTAAATTATAGCAATCAAAATCCTATCTCCAAGACGAATTTAAGAGAAATAACGGAAGAAAATGATGGACCTGTCCAGCCTGTCCAACCTGGACCAGGATTTGTCTACAGAAGGCGGAAGGATTTCACCTCCAATATGCCGCCCCCTTCAGGGGGTGGGATACCGGTCCATCAATAAATCAAGACTTTAATGGGGAATTAAAGAGAAGATGAGGGAAATTCAAATTAGAAGGGTTGTTTGGGTAGTTAACTGAAGGAATTGTATGTTTAAACATGTGGGGAGGCTAGGGTTAGATTTTTATCTTTGATTTTGGCTGAAAAAGTGAAGGTTCTTGTGTCTTGAGAAAAGTTGATCTAAGGTACTAATGACCAAAAACTGTTTTAAAAAACGGTAAGAAATTTGTCTCAAATGAAGCCTTAATCTTCAGGCAACTCCCACATTTTGCTAGCCCCCAAACACCAACCATTGGTCTACCTGTGCTCGCTGCCACTTCCATCTTTCAAATCATAAAATAAATCAACTTAGGCAATATTCCTTAAAAATAAAAGTACAAAACAATTTAATGCAATATGTATTTTTACATCAAAATATATGCAAAATAATGTAAATAAATAAATAAGTAAATATAAAACTTAATCCCAAATGACCCTCTTCCTCATTTAAAATTTAGAGAAACCATTAACCCTTTTGAGTACGGAAACGTAATGTGACAACAAAAGCTGAAATAGTTCAACTTTATTATTTGACTATTATTCATACCACCCTTTATAAGCTTGGAAAACAAGTGCCAATGAATCTTCTTGTGAGCTTTGGCTCTGTGAGAAAGCGGTAGTGAAATTTGAATGTTCTCTATCATTCACTTTTTGCTTCGGAAAAATAAAGTAAATCTCCCTGATTCCAATAAGCATAGAAGATTCATCACTTTAAAATATAAAAGTACGTTTCCAATTTGCCTCTCCTATTACTAAACTCTCACCATGCAATTTTCACTGTTATTAATATAATGGTCACACGCTGAAATTAGTTTCTTTTATGTTATCTGATTTGTGTTTTGCTTCATAGGCTATTGCAGATTCTCAGGGGAAAGTGATAGTTGCCGTAAGGCAAGGGAACATACTTGGAACCGCTTTTCATCCCGAGCTGACTTCTGATATCCGATGGCAAGTTATTTGATAGCACCTTTATATAGATGTATACTATAAGCTTATTGACCTTGAAATTGATTGATTAGTTTTACGTTGTACTTATCAAACAAATCTTAAAAAAGGATCAAAATGATGCCGGACTCTTTATGAAAGATAAAAATAGTCCCTAACAATTATATTAAAGAACAATTTTGATCACTCAACTCTTTAAAGAAGAATCAGAATAGTCTCATCATGAAACTATTTTGATTCTTTTTTAAAGACTTGAGCGACCAAAATAATCTTTTAATATAAGCGGAGATCATTTTGATCTTTCATGAATAGTCAATGGATCATTTTCTCAACTTCTTAAAGAAGAATCAAAATAGTCTCATCATGAAACTATTTTGATTCATTTTTAAAGATTTGAGGGATCAAAGTGATATTTTAATATAGTTGGAGATCATTTTGATCTTTCATAATGAATTAATGGATCATTTTGATCTTTTTCCTCCAAACAAATCTAATGTATAAACCTTTCTAATCAAATTTGAATCAGAATATTTTGGCCAGTGCTAATACTAACATTCTAGCATTTCTCTAGCAGGCATAGTTATTTTTTGAAGATGAGGAAGGCGAGTGATGAAACTAGCTTAGAGTGCTTGGACTTGTCAAATCAGAACTCATATTATCATCTTGGCAGAAGAACTTTTGACTTACCAATTTTTGAATAGCAGTGTATTACATCAATATTTATCCAGTTTCATATGTTTAAAGTCTCATTTCAGATTAATGACTTACTGTAATACTTTGTTTTAAAGGTTTCCATTTGATTATGTATTCTGTTCATCAAATATCCATTCTTGTCACCTTCAGCTTTCCGTTACTGTCAGTCACATTAATTTGGTATTTTGATATATAAGATTTTGTTTGTGATAGCTTTCTTACTACTTTTTAAAGCAATTTTTTAGTAAAAAATTATTTCAAATCAAACCTAAGGCTTCGTTTGGGACTGCTTTCTTACTGCTTTTTAAAGCGGCTTTTTAGTACAAACATTTTAATTTTTGTACTAGAAAGCCACTTTAAGAAACAAGAATAAAACCGTCCCAAACGAAGCCTGAGTCTAACTATATATCTTGCATAGCTTGTTCTATTTAGGACTTTGTAAATGTCAGGAATAATTTCTTTTTCTGTAAGGTGCATTATGATCTGGCGAAAGTGGTAATGGTAGGAAGGTTGGTGCTGGTCCCTATGAGAAGCTTTTTTGTTTGTTTAACTGTTATGTTTGTTTGTTGTTGTGGTTATTTTTTTTTAGTTAATTTAGGTTTTGTTTGGGATGAATTTTTTATACTAAAATTCTGTTTTAAAGAAGCAATAAAAAGTCGTCTCAAACGAAATCTTAATCCAAATAAGATTTCATTTGGGATAACTTTCTGATTGCTTTTTAAAACAACTTTCTAGTACTAAAGCATTAAGAAAATTGCCCAAATGAATCCTTATGTTTCATTTAGGACGGCTTTCTTACTACGTCTTAAAGCATCTTTCAAGTAAAAAATTAAAATTTTTATACTAGAAAGCTGTTTAAGAAGCAGAAAAAAAGCAGTCCCAAAAGAAGCCTTAGATATCTCATAAATGAATAACGCTTGTTGGGTTTATTCTATTATTCAATAAAAATATTTAATCTACATTTTATTGATTCTCAAAGACTTATATTAGAGCTTGTTGGTCTTGAACGTGAGGCTCTTTTGAATCCAATGGTTATTGTCTTTATATTTTGATCTCGAGGTTCTTCGTTATTTCTTGCATGATCGTGTATCTCATTTATCTAGAATCCATTAATTTCCCACTAATCAACTGTGCCTTCACCTTAGTGATATCAGAGATTTTGATCTCCAAAGCTTGCCCTAAGCTAATATATTAATTTCTTCGTTGAACTAAAAGAAGTTAAGCATATCATCCTTAATCGATAGTAAGCTCGGGTATCTCACTGAAGCACTACCAAAAAATAAGATTTTCGCTATAGTTGTTAGGATCCGTTTAAGAACCGCTATCAAAACCCTGATTTAGCACAAGTTTTGCCTTCTCTAACGATCATGAAACTGCTGCGGGATATAGGTGCAGCGCATTGCAATCATAGTGGCGTGCATCGGTTTTAAAATTGCTGCAAAGAAAATTTATGGCAGGTAAAACCATCGAGAAAAGTCTAAAGTGGTGTATAGTGGTTGAATCATAACATTCATTTTGTTATTAAAAGGCTTATCATATCTCAACTTATATTTTATTATATACTAATACATTCATCTTAGGAGCATTGTCTAAACTCCTTTTCTATACTTCCACAATCAGAGCAATAGAGAATAGATCATTTTCACTACTGCCTAATATAGAAATGTACCAACTTCTGACTAATACATTGCTTGTCGACATAGTGGGGCATAGGTCATGTTTCTACTATTTATCTAAGATGAAAGGTGAAAGATATAAACACACAAAAACATTAGTGTTCATAGCTGCTGGTATCATAAGGAGGTGAATCCAACTTTCAATATTCTTATGTAACCATTCCTATATAATATATTCTTTGCATTCTTATTATAATGCATATACTTTAAATAATAATTATGCCTATCATTTCATGTAAGCCATTATAGGTTGCAAAAATATAGATCAATAAGTAACATTCATGTCAATATGAGCATTACATGCATAAGAAGTAGAAAATCACTTTAGATAATTTTTAATAACAATCATGTACTAACAAAAACATTATTCAATATAAGATGCCATAAAATTTATAAAAAACTTAATTCATTACAATAAAATAGAAGTATAATTACTAGGGCTGCAAGCGAACCAAACGTTCGGCGAGCTACTCGTTGTTCGGTTCGATTAAAGCTCGTTTGCGATCGTTTAATTAACTAAACAAACAAACTTGAACAATATTTTAAATACTCGATTCTTAAATAAACAAACTTGAACACTAATGCGTTCAGCTCATTTATGTTCGCGAACAACATCATTTGAAGCTCGTGAACAAGGTCAACATTAAGCACGATAAGAAGCTCGATAAAAGCTTGATTTGTGTTCGATTTTGAACTCGTGAATAAGCTGGATAAAAATAATTAATATTTGATTATAAAATTAATAAATATGAATAATCATTGCTTTTATTATAAATGTGTTTGTTCATAGATATGTTCATAAACGTGTTTTTTTATAGTTAAAAAAATTTTCGTTAAATATGTTCGCGAACATGCTCGATAAACACTAAACGAACGAACATGAATTGAACATGAACCGAACATGAACACTCCTTAATTTAAGTGAACCAATCATGAACACAAACGCTAAAGCTCGAACAAACATGAACCAAACTTGAACAAGCTGATATTAAATGAACACAAACATGAACACTCACATACTCGGCTCGGCTCGGTTCGTTTGCAGCCCTAATAATTACTCACATTAACTTCAAAAGACTTGATTTACAAATTCTATAATAATGGCATTAATTGTCACTCCATTGTTTTTTTTTATTGAGATGCATGTGCTCTTTATTTGTTTCATCCCTATGTTGATTGTTAGTGGCCTTTACATGTATTTGTTGTAATTTTGAGTAGCTAACCTCATTAGTTTTATTTGTTGGGCAATTACTTTTGAGTCATTATCATTTTGGCTCATATTCTTCTTTGCTTTAAGTGCTGATCAATTTTTCCCACAACCTTGTCAAAACAAATCTTTTTTTTAACTTGACCCTCCCATGGTTAAAATTAAAATCAAAATTTTTATTTAGGGTGGAAATCAATTTGTACACTCCATAATATTAGTCATAAATTAACTTCACTAAAATAAAAATATATTTAATGCTGTAATTTCATTACAAATTACTTAATAGAAATGAATTATATGTGTATGTTCATGACTGTTTTCACTTGTGTCTCATAGGTAACAATTAGAGCTTAATGAGATTACTTGCCCTCAAGAAGGGTCCCTTTGAGGAACTCAGTTGGGAACTGCAGAAGAACCCACTTGAAGAGATCAACGAGCTCAACACGCTTGAAACCAACTATGAAGCTTTACCAGCACAAGGCGAATGGAGATCCCTTGTCGAACCGCCAAATACATGATACCTCTCTCACTGGCTCTGCCCCAAGAATATGTAATAGCCGTGTTTGACTTTGTCAATTTTTTTCTAGAGTCAATATAACTTTAAATCGTAAACTGTCTTCGCTATAGTATTTTGATTTTAGTATTTTACTTACATGAATTTTTTGGTAATTTTTTGGCATTGTAAAAAATTCTTAAGAAATTGACACCAATATTTTTTTTTAAATAAAATAATTTATTTTATGGTTATTTTTCTGTAATTTTTGAAGTCCTAAAATGATTTATTTGAATTTATACTAAAAGAAAAAAAATGTGAATTTTTGCTCAGTATTATTTTTGTTGTCTACCGTTAATGCATTTTGACATTTTTTTGAATTATGCTCAATTATATTTTATTTATTGCAATCTATTATAAATGAATGTGGATATGTGCTTGAAATAATAGCTAGACATTATACATGTTATAATATTATGATAATAATGCGTATGTTCTGTAAAAGACAATTAAAGACTGGTTGACCCTTTGATTGGAGACTGACTGATTTGTACATGATGGTGGACCAACGAACTTTCCTTTAAATAAAATGGTTTGGGATTATCCTCTACTAATTTACGTGATACAATGTTTGGGAGTTATAAGGAGATTATTATAGCGCCGATGAGTAAAAAGTAGCGACTTTATTTATTGCGCCAACGATTTACTAATATTGATACTAATACTAAAAAATACAGTGATAGTTAGGACTTCTTACTTGTTTAGTGTGATTACTTAAATGAATGCTTTAATTTGAGACATTTTTCTTATTATTGTATTGATTTATTATTGCTGTATGAATTTACTATTATTACATTATTCTACTACTCCCCACTAAATTATTATTGTTATCTAATTAAATAGATATAAATAATATTTGATACTACCGATTCACTATACTGATACTAAACATGTGACATATTGAGCACGTGATATAGAATGCATGAATAGTATGGATACACTATTATATGGTTTTACTACATTAGCATGATTTCATTAATCTTTACGCACGGATGTTTTGATTTGATACTTTATGTGATTTCTGTACTGATTGGTATTACAGATATGATGACTGCTTTATATATTTGATACTCATACTAGTTTATTATTTTATTATCTTTCGTATTGTAGTATTTAATTATTTATAGATTCTACTACTACTGCATGTAAATTTTACTATTTCTACATTGATTCAATGATCATAAAAATATTACTGCTATGATTTGATCCGTGACATGCATATTACTCCTGTACCATGCTTTGAGTTTAGTTATAGTTTTTGGTGACTTGCTCGGCTTTTTAAGCTCAATATATATGGTTAAATGATTTCAGGTTATGTTAGGGGAGCATGAGTGTGAGGCTAGTTAGACTCTTCAGGTTCTATTTTTTTTTTTTTTTTTTTTTTTGTTTTTTTTTTTTTTTTTTTGTTCTGGTTATTCTTTTGTATTCATGATAGAATAGTTATGTGATGATTATATAGATCATGAGTATTGTATATAATTTTTTAGATTTAATATAGATGTGTACATTGATTTTTGAATTATAGAATTTATTTTGTTGTTTGTTACTGATATATGATATTAGATAGCTCTGATTGTTGTTTATTAAAAGATAAATTAATAATTTTTTAAATTAGATTATGGAGCATCACAGAATATCCGAGTCACCCAACTCAACTATAAGAAGTGTCTACCCACCATACACATTATCCAACTATAATCTACAAGCATAAAGCTCTTTCATTCTTTCATCATCTCACTCGCCTTCTTCCTTACGGTAACTTGAGATCTCCTACACAAGTCATTAGTGATCACCCTCGATCATTCGCCATGGTTCACTCATAAACTCACTCAAATCCTCCACTTAGCTCGCTTCAGGCTAGGGAATTCGCTCGTTGACTTCACCCTCTAGCCTATCCGAAGGTGACACATATTAGGCTAGTGTATAACAATGTACGGATTTCCTGTGTAGCTTGTATTTTATTTTACTTTAACTCTATATAACATTTCTTGTATCCCTTAGAATTATATAAATATAGGCTGAGAGAAACAATCTTGGGACTGTTTTTTTTCAAGATTTTGGATCTTGGACTCTGAATTCTTCCCTCATAGTGAATATTCATCTTGCTTGAGATTTCTATTGTTTTTGCTCTACTCTCTCTCTCTCTCTCTCTCTCTCTCTCTCCATTTCGTGTTCATAGATTAACCTGAAGGTCAGACATCATACCTATAAATTCAAGTTCAACAATATGTGAAATATATTTAATATCACAATTACTTTACATCATTCAATGAAAGATTCCTTACATAATAACCCAACCAACTTACCCGCACACGTAGCTATCACTTGCATGACTTTTCCACAGCTAACGGATAGATTCTACCTTCTAATTTATGCTCCAGAAAATTGAAATGTTGTTATTTATAAATAACGTACGCATGCATTTGTGTAATAATATAATAAATATTGTTTTGTGGATGTAATAAAGGATCAACAATATTATATTTTAATTAAGGCCACATTTTTAATTAATTGTTAAGAATTTTAATTAAGATTTTTCTTATGAAAATAAATTATTATTGATACACCTTAAAAATAAATCGGTCTGATGAACATGAATCTCGATGCAATATTTATTAAAATTTTGAAACTAAATTATTCGAAGACCAACTTCAAGAAATTTATAATCAAATGGAGAATGTTGATGAAACAAATCCAATGACACGAGAGTGATCCAGTTCAATCCGAATAAGTTCAAATAATAATTGATACATCATAAAAAAAATCATCTAGATCGGGCATGAATCTCGAAGTAATATTAAGTTGTAAACTTCCAAAATTAAAATTGGGATCATTCGAATTCCGATTTCAACAAACTTATAGTCAAACTGAGCGTATCGGAATTACGAACCCAACGACATCAAAATCTACTCAATCCGAGCCCAAATGAGTTCAAATCAAGGACTCGAAGCGCTGTTGGAAGGTTCAAACCATAATTTGGATTACCGAACAGTTTCCAAAACGTGACATGCTTATATTTGAATTGAGTGGCTCGACGAGACGAATCCAACGAGCTCAAGATCACTGAATTTGAATATCACTAAGACATTGAAATGCCCAACAAACGGTCCACGATCAAGGGATTCAGCATCGATCATCCATCAAACCACTCCCCATTTACCCTTGATCTTCCTCTTATTTACGGGCCACGTCACTCTAGGAAATCTATAAATAAACCCCTCATTCCTCTTCAAAAGGGGACCCGAAGCAAGAAAGCAAGAGAGAGATCAGAGATTGCTCTTGTTCCCTAGCTCCTCCTCGACCACTGCCCAGAGTTCTACCGGACCACCAACTAACGCCGGAATTCTACCAGATCACCACCTGATGCCCATTAGTTCCGCCAGACCACCACCTCAAGTCCGGAATTCCGCCGGACCACCACTTGACTCCCAGAGTTCCGCCAGACCACCACCTGATGTCGGAGTTCTACCGAACCATCACCTGACTCCCCGGAGTTCTGTTGGACCACTACTTGATGCTAGAGTTCCACTGAACCACCACATGACGCCATAGTTCTACCGGACCACCACCCGACGCCAGAATTCTTCCATACCACCACCTAACGCAGGACTTCTGTCAGGACCACCGCTTGATGCCGGACTTACGCTATACTATTGCTCGATGCTGGAGTCCGTCGGACCACCTCCTGACATCGGAGCTTCACCGGACCACCTCCTGACGCCAAAGTTCTACCAAACTACTGTCAGACCACCGACCAAGGTCCGAACTTTCTCCGGACCACCGACAGAAGGAATTTCTCCGACCACTGAATAATGTTTGGGCTTCCGCCGAATCACCGCCTTACGACTACAGTCTTTCTGACCAATGTGTCTTGGCGACTTTGATTCTTCTGACCTTCGTCGCCTACTATGCTCCTTACTTTCATCGTTAGACAACCATCTTTTCTGATCCCTGTCTCATGCCGACTACGATCCTTATGACCTTTGTCGCTTACTACGGTCCTTCTGACCTCCATCACTAGATAGTGGTCTTTCTGATCTCTATCTCATGCCGACTATGTTCATTCCTACCTCTGTCTCTTACTACGGTCCTTCTGACCTCCATCGCAAAACAACGGTCTTTCTGACCGCTGTCTCCCGCCGACTACGATCCTTCCGACCTCCCTCGTTAGACAACAATCCTTTCGACCACCGTCACCATAATATGATCTTTCCAACCTCCGTTGCCCGCCCACTAGTTTTGCTGACTAAACAAATATTTAAATACTAATTCTTCCAAATCCTACAAATGTAATATGATGTACATTTGCTACATAAACACAATGCCTTACCCCAAGGAAAAGCCTAGCTCATTTGTAACCGACTACAAATAATAGTGGATTCATTCAAATTGAGTCAGGCCTCGTGGTTTTCCCCTTTTTCAAGGGTTTCCACTTAAAAACTTTGGTGTCTCTTATGAACGCTACACACTCTCTTTTATCTGCTTGTGTGCTGAATCTTCGTACAAAGTTAAGACATTAAATTTTATATTTCTCTACCGTCGTGAATATTTCAGAACACAATAACAACAACAATAATAATAGTAATAATAATAATAATAATAATTAATATTATATTTTTTAATTATTTACTCGTGTATTAATCTTCGTGAAAAACTAAACTTTATATAACAATAATATAATAATAATAATAATATTAATAATAATAATAATAATAATAATTAATATTTGTTATGATTACTTATTACTTTGAAATTGAATTATATTACTAATTTTTTCTTTACTAGAAATACATTTAATACTTTTCAAATAAATATAAATAGCATACAAAAGATAGATTATATTAGTCATTAGATGTTTGATTATGGATTATCGCGTTCTGAACAGCTGGTGGCAGTTTACATCACAGTATGAAATCGTTTGCCCGATCTCAACAGCACGTGGGACAACTGTGCGTTCCGGTCCACAGAAATTTAACGGCTGCGATTTGACGATAGATCTCAGCAACTAATTATGGGGGACTCTTCTTCCAAGCCGGCGCGTCCATCTCAACCGTACAAATCAACAACAGATCGAATCCCAGCCGCATGTTTGCTATGGCGGTCTTCATACCGGGGTTGCCCACCGTATCAGATGATATAAATCCTGTGTAGTGTTTGCAATAGAAACATTGTTTTTGGCCAATGGTAATGCGCTACGTAGGAAGAAGAAGCTCGGATTTTCCACGTGGGATATGCCCACTGGGTTGTTCCGTGAAACTCGCGGGGTTTGGGATCAAAGCCAACCGCCATCAGGGGCTGGGTCCCCACCACCAATCCCGTCTTCTCCGAGGCTAAGGGTTTGGATCCGAAGCTTGAGCATGAAATCCATTCTCTATTCCGAAGCGGTGAGGGGAGAGAGAGAGAGAAGCGAGCTCGGTCTCTGTATCTCGATAGCTCCAATTAGAATGAGATGAGCTTGTCGTAGCTAGGGCTAAGATCTCGGTGCATGATCTCACAGATCCAATCTTGTTTGGTTCTGATAAAGAATTGTGTATAGAGCTGTCGATTGAGTCTTCAATAATCGGAGATTGGAAGGAATTTAGGCGAAGGTGATCAGAAAAAGCTCGTGCGGTGAAGATAATTTGGTAGATTGGGATAATGCACGAATGATCTTAGTAAGATCGACATCCTTATTGTGTTTTGTGCTTGTTTTCTTTTAAAGAATTCGTAATTATGATGGTTTTTTTTTCTGTCTTTCTTATTTAGTGAAGTGTGATGCTTTGGACAAAGTAAGAGTTGGGTTCTGGTCTGTGGATCGGAGTAAATCATGGCGCAAAATAATTGGGAAGCGGATAAAATGTGTGTATGGGATGATTTTTATTCTGTTTAATGTTTTGTTTAGGTTCTAATTGTCGTTTTCACGAGTAAATTTTGCGAATTTTTGTTTGACTATTTGTTAGGCTTGATGTTTATATCTATGACTATCTGCTGAAGAGGAATCTGCAGACTACTGCGAAAGCATTCATGACGGAGGGGAAGGTTGCTCCTGATCCAGTAGGTAATAAACTTTTTTAGCTGTACGCTTAATATTCGCTCAGGGGTTTGTTCTTGGGAATGTTTTTTATTTTAAATTTTTTATTTTTTTATTTTTTTAATGGTTTGAGTAATAGAAAGACGGAATGACTTATTATATCAATTTGGCCTAATGAAGTAAAGCCTACTGGATATATGTTATTGCAGTTTTGATTTGTGTTGGGTGAAAGAAGCGTCAATTAGAGGTTAAAAAATCGTAGAATTTCATCGTCTGAGTAGAAGATAAAAATGTTGTTTTAGGAAGTCCCAATATGAGCTAAATAGCATATTCCAGTCTGGTGTTGTTGACTATATAGTGCTCATCATTTCTTATCTTGAAACGAATTTAAGCAAAGAGGGATTTTTAGATGATAAATAGTTATGTAATATTTTCCTCAAAACCTTTTCTTTATTGTCAACGTTGGAAACCACTGTCAATAGCTACATTTTTTTGTAAAAGAACAGGTGAACCCACATTAAATTGTTAGTTGTGTAATCTAATTATTTTGATCAATCGAGCTGCAGATCTAAATGCTGTCGGTTGAGCTCGACGGGAGGTTACAAGGGGTAGTGCTCCTCCTACATGGTATTCAGGGGTCTTGCCCTTGAATTTTTTTTCCTCGTACAAGCATCATAGCGCTATGCTAGTGCGCTGCAGTGCTCTAGACGTGGGCTGATTTTTAGTTTTGTGGAATTTGATTTTGTCGATCAATCGGGTTTACTATTGACTCAGATCTCAATTCCGTTGTTCAAGTTTGTCGGGGGGTTGCAAGGGGCCACCCCCCTGCTTGGGCTTTGAGGGCCTTGCCACTGATTTTTTTTCATATATCTATATAATAATGTGACACTGCTTATTAGAGCACTGCAGCACTGTACACTTATGCATTGCAGCATCATAGGATGCAGTGCCATGGCGCTGTAGTCTTAACTTGAAGAAATAGATTGGAGCATTGCGGCACTCTAGAACTAGTGATGTGAGTTGGGCTGGAGACAGAGAGTGGAGCATTACAACGCTCTAAATCCTGTCGCTGCAACGCTGCAAGTTAGGGTGATAAGTTTTCTTTATCATTTTCAGTTGAAGAGTTGTGTTCTTTGGTGTATTGAAAAGTATTTCTTTGTTTGTTTTGAGTGTAAAATGAAGATAAAAGTGACGAGGCACAAGGAGAGAGTGCGAAAAGAGAGATTTTTACAATGTCTCCCAATGTTCATAGTGAATTTTTTTCGTGTGGTGTGGATCCGTGTTTTTTTCCTGGTTTCGGGTTTTTCCACTTTAAATCTTGGTGTTCATTTTTACTGTTTTCTTTTATTGGTTTCGTTGCGTGGTTTACCTTCCCAACACTGGAGACAGAGAGCGGAGCACTGTGACGCTCTAAACCCTGACACCGTGAGTCTGGCTGAGTAATTTTCTACCCTCTTTTTCTTGTTTCACTTGAAGGGTTGCGTTCTTTGGTGTATTGAAAATCATCTCTTTATCTATTCCGACGGAAGAACGAAGAGAGACAAGGAGAGAATGTGAGAAGAGAGATTTGTACAATTTTTTCAATTTTCATAGTGAATTTATTGGTGTGGTGTGGCTCCATGATTTGTTTCTGGTTTTGAGTTTTTTTCACGTTAAATCCTAGTGTTCTTTTTTTGTTGTTTTCTTTTCTTATTTGTTTCGTTGTGTGCTTTTCTTCCCAACATGAATTGCTGCAGTGAAATACTGCATATGGTTTTGTTTCGTTTATCATTCGTTGGAGTATTTAGTTTTATTTCTTTTACTATTTCTAGAGTTTGGCTACTTGCACCTAATGTTGGCTCATAATTTCCCTCTGGAAATTTGAAGAAAACTCCTAATGGTTTCTTCATTCTTTGTACATGGGCATTTTTTTAAATTTTGTAAACACAGGCAATCGTTTACCCCATTTGAAAGCAAGGACAATTAAAATAGATAAAACCTCAGCGTTGATGATTGGGTTTCTTGCAACCCAGTCACTCAGTGGGTTTGTGCTAATTTGAACATTATTGCTTGTGTTACAATTTTGTTAGGTATTTCTAGCAATCCAGACATTTGTTCTCTAGATCTTAGCAATCTGAGCATCGATATATTAATTTATCACAACTTGTATCATTGCTTGAGTTGTAACCAAGTATGGTATTCAACCATCTCAGGTATATATACTTAGATTTCATTGTAGTCCAAACATTAATACAAATATATAGATTTGGCATGCCCTTGCAAGACATGCCTGAAGAAGGATTAAAAGTGCAAAGTTAATGATAAATTTAATTAAGTGCCTTCTTTATATAAGAATTGCTTTACTAGAATAAAAATCCTATCAAAATGTTTTTTTTAATGATAAATTACAATGAGTTTGGAAATTTCCCTTTCTTTAATAGGTGCGTTGTATGCTAGTTTCTCTCTTATCTACTTATAGATAACCTTAAGGAGGTCGTGCTTGATAAATTTGCAATTGCAGAAAACTATTGCACTAATATTTTCATAAATTCTAATCATAAACTATTTCTATTCTTATATGTCAAATTGCTGAAATCCTTGAAGCTATGTAAGGCTTGTGTTTAAGCCATTGTCACATCTTTTATGTTGGGACCATTTTGTTTGGATACTTATCTTACCTATGTATTTATCATTAAATTTTGACATGAAGCTATCAAATTATTAAGCTGCTGCTTAAGGAAACCACATAAACTTTAAATTGTTTGCACAGCAATTGATGCACCTGGTGGGTTTCTTTTTGAGTGGTGGTCTGTATTTTGGGATATCTTCATTGCCAGGACAAATGAAAAGCACTCAGAAGTCGCAGCGGCATACATAGAGGTCTGGTTTCCATAAACAAGTGCATCTCTTTTATATCCACGACTTTCAGCTAGACCTCTCAAATATTGTAATGATCTTGACAACCAACTTTATGTGCCTGAACTTGAAAGCTAATTATTTACTGGCATATTAGGCTCAGCAACTTAAAGCAAGAGAGCAGCAACAGCTGCAGATGCAGCAGTTTCAGTTCATGCAGCAGCGACAAGTTCAATTACAAAGGAGTAATTCTAATCATCCATCTCTGAGTGGCCCTGTGAGTGCACTGAACTCTGATGGAATCACAGGTGCATCAACTGCAAGTGTACTGGCTGCAAAGTTGTATGAAGAGCGTTTCAAGCATTCTCCGTCTATGGATTCTGATACATCCAATCAGCTCCTTGATCCCAGTCGAATGGCTCTTCTTAAGTCACCTAACAGTCATCCAGGGTATTATTTTTTGTTCCAACCTGAGTTCTTGTTTTAGAATACCACATCTTTTTTTTTAATTTTGTATTTCCTGTATTTTTTTGGCATCTCACCCGCTTGCTACATATCTTCTCCATTGAGGCAGGCAGCTAGTCCAAGGTACTGCTGGTGCGTTGCAGCAAATTCAAGCAAGAAATCAACAGACAAATGTAAATAAGTGTGATCTTTCTTTTTGACTACTGCCTATTTTTGAGTTCTTAATTTGATGCTAAAATGATCTATGTTACCATAATTGGGCTTTGTTTCTTACCATTTGCAGGACATTAAATGTGATGGGAACTTGGCTGTTGCTCAAAGATCTTTGCCAATGGATCATTCATCAATATATGGTCAGGGTATAATACAGTCAAAATCTGGATTAGCAGGTCCTGGTAGGTGTTCTGTTTAGCAATATTGGTAAATTATGTTTCTAAATGCTGTGTCAACATGCTGCATCTGGAGTTTTCTTTACCCAATGAAACCAATATTTTGCTGCCGATATGTTTTGTGGAAAAGTATTGTGAATTTGATTATTTTGAAGTTATTGGTAATTATGTCTATTGATAAGTATGAATTTGAATCACCATTTAGCATGATGCAATGCCATTGGCATAAAATTGCACTTGTTGGTGCGTGGAAGTGAGTGTCACGACCCGGCTCGAGGGCTCGAATTAACGAGCCGGGAAAAGATGGTCGGACGGTAAATCAAATTTTTAATTTCCTTAAAGCTATCTCAATAATATTGAAAGAGCCACTAAACTTCAAATATGTATATTGATATGTATAATAATCATAGATACATTTCTTCTTGTGCCTCACATCTATGGTAGACATTTCCGCCTATCCTATTCATTTGATTATCCTAAACTTACCTGAAATAAAAGTTAGAGCAATAATAATAAGCCAAAGCTTAGCGAGTAACACATGTATCTAAACTATAATAATTCAAGACAGTAGAAGTAATATGCTAGATGTCATTTTCATTTAAACATATCATAAATTTGATTTCTTATAAACATATCATTTAAATATGTGCATAAATTATAAATTCATATCATTTCATATTTAATTTATATTCATCATATCAGTATTCATAATTTTCTTATTTCATATATAGTACAACCGTCACATGAGCCACCGTCTAGTATCAATGAATGTACTCCTTTACCATATCCTTTTTTCTTAACATTTATCATTTTAACGTGCACTAGTACATCGCCCCCAGCTAGTACCATAAGGGGGTGATCTCCATCATTTCAATATGCATATGCAATCATTCAATATATCAATCATATTATATTCATATATCATAATACTATGCTCTATCTTATACTTTATGCAGTATAATAATGAATCACTCAATATGCGAGGGATGAAATATTGAATAATTTGAATTACAATAAAGTGAATAATTTGCAATGACAATTAAATGAAAATTTGAAACGATACAATTACTGTAATATAGAAACATGCTTACTCACCTTGAAATTGGGAAATTGATTTTCTTCATTTGTATTCTTTCCTTTGATTTCACAAAATTTAACACCTATAAGAAATAATTTAATATTCATAAGCTAAAGCTAATAATCTTAAATTTAATTCTTCTTCTTCTATAAAATTACCATAGGCTCTCTTTCTTTCTCTCTCTCTCCCTCTCTCTCTCTAATTTTGTATAATATCTCTAATCACTCAAAATTAATCTATTACTAAAGCATAAATTAATTTAAAATAAACCTAATTTTGGGATTTAAATTAATTAGAAATTAGAAAAAATAATATTTTGAGTAATCAATATCATTAGAAACTCTTTTTTTGTCCATTACATAGTACATGCATAATAAAATCTCCCATACACTTATTAATTAATGAAAATACAATTAATTTTCGGATTAATTTAAATTAAAATTACAAAAAATGGCATTTTGTATAAAAATCCTAATTTTCACCTCTAAAATCCTTCCTAAGTCTATTTGGAACCATAACACTTAGGGTTTTCATGATTAGGGAAAAGCCCTAATTTTTGAAGCTCGAAATTTCTCATAAAAATTAATTTAACTTCAAATAGAGGCTTTCTAATATCATTAAGAACAGTTCTTACAAAAACATTTTGAAAGAAAACGAAAATTGAAAGAAGCCTTAATTTTCAAAATCCAAAATTTTTAGAGAAAAATCTCATTCCCATGCTTAAAATAATCTTTTAAACCTTTCCTATCAATCTCCTAAAGAAATTTGAAGTTTCCATTAAACTCTAATTTTCTTTCTTTAAAGAACTCTAAGGGAAACCATGGAAATTACTCTTAGGAACTCACCTTACTCCTTTCCAACGTTCTCCCTTCGATCTCCTTCACGAACCGCCGCCGGAAAGCCGCCATGTCCTTGAACCCGTCGCTCCTCTCTCCGCTTCCTCCCTTCGTCTCAAGTTCAGCCGCACGAAAAAAATGGGGACCGAATGAATTTCGGTCCCCTTAAGTGGGAGGGGTTAATGTTATTTGCATAATGTCCATTTTGCTCTCATAAGTCATAATTTCGTTTTAATAATTATTAAGGGTAATTTAGGTATTATGAAACTTCCATGATTTTTAATTTCAAATTTAAGCGAAATTCACTTTAGGTTTTTATATCAATTATCTTGAAATTTTGCGTAGAATTTTATAAAATAAATTTTGTCGAAATCCGACGACTTTAAATTTTTTTTGAATTTCGTCGCAATACTTCGAGATGCGTGCAACGCTTACGATCGTCGATTTCGGGTCTTACAATTCTCACCTCAAATATTTCGTTCTCAAAATTTATATACAACTTCTAGTTACAAAATCTAACAACATTTTCCATTTCATTTAACATAAACTTTAACGTTGGAATAAAATAAACTAAACATCTGATATATCATAACAAAATAATCTGATCAACTCAAAATATATGACATAACATAACAAGATAACCTACTAAATCCAAAACATCTGATACAACTTTACAAGTCACTAAAAATAGACAATAAAGCTATCTCAACTATCCTTGTCAACATCTATGAATTCATTGGGCTCCTGCTGAGTCAAAAGTATAAACTCCTGGTCGAACATTCTGCCTGGATTGATTTTGTAATGAACCTGCAAATGATGGTTCTATCATCTTAGGTTTACCAAAATTCCTCTATAAAGGTGCTTCATTTGATCTCATTTCTCATGAAGTCTTCTGAACCAATGCAGAACAATATTTTGCTATGTGTCCAAGCTGACGACACTAGTAACAAGTGTTGGAACCAATCAGACATTCATCCTTATGCAATCTGCCACACTTAGCACAAGCTTCCATAACTTTACTAACAGTTGCACTACTAACTCCACTAGGACTAAACTTGGGTTTCTTCTCATTTGATACTCCAATTAATTGCTTTGTATATCCTCTTCAAAACTCTTCCTTTTATGTTGATCCCTTCTCTTCAGAGTAGCTTGTAAATCTAACTCAATCTTTCGGGCCCTCTCTACCAGAGTAGAATAATCCTAATGCCAAAAAGAATCAAATGTTATCTAATGATATCCTTAAAGCCAGATAAGAAATGATTACACTTTCTTTTCTGTATTGGGTATCAGATGTGAGGTATATATGGAAAGTCTGGTGAACTCGGCCTAATACTGAGTTATAGATCGATCATCTTGTACCAATCTGATGAATTTATCTTGCATCTGTCTCCTGGCTGACATGGATACATACCAGTCTCGTAACACTTTCAGAAACTCTTTCCAGGAAACTTGACTGCTGGATCGCCATCTAAAAATCTCTTGTAGCTAGTTTCGCCACCACCATTCTGCCTCTCCATCTATGACAAAAGCAGTTATAGTAACTCTTCTATCCTCATGGCAGGACATACCTTCTATAATCTTCTCTATCCTCATCACCCAATTTTCTGCCTCTATGGGTCCGCCACTTGAAAACAACAGAGGCTTCATATCTTGGAACAATTTTAAATTTTTATCTATGGGAGTACTACTACCACCGGCCTGAGTCTGAGTATTCTTGATCACTTGAGTCATTACTGCCATCATTTGCGTAAAAGATTTCATAGTAGCATTGATGCTACTACTCGAAGGCTCTGCTACGACGGGTAGCTCCTTCATAATTTCTCTCATATTGCCATCAGTGGCATCATGTTCAGGATCCATGGCCCTGAGAAAACGCGATGAAATAAAGTGGGAACAAACAATTGGACATAATTTTTAGATATTTTTACTAACATTAAATAATATTAAACCATTATGTATAATTTTTTTTGGTAATGATAACTTCTAATACATTGAAAGAGCCACTAAATCATAAAATTAATTATATTCCAAAATCAAATCAAATTTTCTATTCTTATTTCAACATCCAAAAATTTAGGTACATATTATTTGTAGGTCCACGTGAGCAGTAGTAGTACATGAACTCCCTTCTCTCACACATTTAAAACAAAGAATCATTTCCTGTCTATATTTATTAAACGGCATGTGTAAGTTATAACATAACTCTGTGAATATATTATAGATCTAACTCATAGTAATTTAAATGAAAGTTGTTTATCATATTAAAATAAATACAAAAATCATAATGAAAGTTAACCAAATAATTTTATATATTTATTTTAATATGATAAATAGAAACATATGCAAAAAAATAATAATCTCGCATACACTCTAATAGCTAAAATGCCTCAAATTTAATTATTGAGGTTAACTTTAATTGTTACTTTTGGCCTTATAATCAAACTGAGATATTTTATAATAGTCGGGGAACTAAATTGGGTCATTATAAAAGTCTAGGATTAAATTGGGCATTTGTTACTAAATGGGGGATTATTTTGAGATTTTACTCTTTATCTTAATTACTATTATTGAGTTATTATGTCTTTGTTAATCAGGCTAGTCTACTAGCAGTACTATTAGTTAATATTTGTTAACTATAACTAGTTAATTAGCTTGTAACTAATAAAAAAAATGATTACTCTTGCAGTTGTTCCTTAAATAATTATTTTCTTATTTCTTATTAAAAATAATTAATACTAATCAATTATAATTTGTTTTTTAAGTAAATCAATCATTAGAAAATTTTATGATCTAACACCTAACGATTAATTTATTATTCTAATTAATCTTTATTAAAGAGCCAACTAGGAAAATATATATTCTGATTATTCATTAATACAATGATTATGATACAAAGTTTAGTTAATATGTTAATTATCTGAAAATTATGTAGAGAATCCATGCTATTTAATTTTCTTAACCATTAATTAACAACTAATTATTGAGCCGATTTTATTTTAATAAACAAATTACATGACATAAAAAAAAACAAATTACATGACATATTAGCTTCGTATCTTAATTATAAAAAAAATTAATTATTCTAATTAATTGGGCTATTTTAATATCTTAATTAGTTAGATTATTTGATATCTTAATTAATTGGAATATCTTATTACCATAATTACTAATAAATGATTAGTTAATCTAGTTAGCTCCTAATTAATCATTCAATCCTAGTACCATTGCTAATTTACAATTTATTAAAAAATTAATTTATATTTTGTTAATTAGTTAATTCTAAATTAAATATCCTAATTAATATTTAATTTATCATTCAATTATTGGAATTTAGCAGGTATTTTTTAACTAAACTATTATGGCCTTTCTGTCCAGAGCATTTTTGTCATAAAGCAGAAATCTAGAAAAGCATGATAGCAGTTTTCTAGAATGCCAATCGAACTCATCTCTTTTCTAGCATCATATATA